GTTACACACGAAATGGACGTGCTGGGCCTGCGCTCTGTCTTTGTCGCACCGCCTCTGCGACAACGAGGAGGGAGAGAGAACTGCCGACGTCAGTATTTATCAGTGCGTTTATGGACCTCAGGCTGTTATGTCGTGCGGACCATCCTCTCGCAACTGTTGTGTGTGTATTTCCACACGTGTCCCTGTCCATTTTCCTGGCATTTTCCCACATCCTGCTGAGATCACTGGACCAGGAATGCTCCCAAAGTCGGCAGCAGTTACGTAGGGGTGGTATCCCCACACGGAGGACAGTCGCAGCTTCCGCCGTCGGTGCACACCTCGGCCCAACGCGGTCCGAGGCGGATAAATAATTCCATAGCTTTTCCCTTTTATTCGACGAGTGCTGCTGTTACAGCGGCTCAGCAAGCCCTCCATTGCCGATGTGCCATCCCGCCGCCCATAACCTGACCAATTGTAGCGACCCACTCCTCGGCGGTCAGCGCAGCGAAGGCCTTTGACCGATTTTAAGACACCCTTCGGCCGCTTTATGCTCGGCTTAGGGACGCCATATGGGGTGTGTCGGCGGGGAAGGTCCGCGGACGGCTCGCGGGGTGGTGTGGGGTGGGTTGTGGTGGAGCGGGGCCCAGCGCAGGGCGCAGCTGCACATTGGTGTGAGGATAAGTGGGGCAAAATGGAGTACAGTGGATACGTCATCAAAGAGAGAGAGAGAGAGAGAGAGAGAGAGAGAGAGAGAGACGGCGAAAAGAGCGAATGACCTGTAGACGCGCGGCACCTCGCGGGCGCCGCTGCACGCGACGCCACACCAAGGAGACGGCACTACCGCGCTCGCCGAGTGGTCCTTCAAATTCACTTAGGCTGGACGCTATTTCTCTCTCTACTCTTTCTCTTCCTGTCTCGTACTACCCCCAGCCACTCCCTCCCTCCCTCCGCTCTCTCTCTCTCTCTCTCCGTCTCCCCCCTGCTTGCTCCCTCACTCACTGGCCACACTTCACTTTTATTTCACGACTTTGCTCTGGACATTCCTACTACCGCCCCGTCTCCCTCACTTCCCGACCCTCTTTACCTCACACTCTTCTCCGATACAAGCAAATAGCTGTGCCCCTAAAAAAACACACCAAAAGTATTTCGCGTTGCAGTTTTTTGTCACACGTTTTAAAATTAATGTGTTTTGATTATCTTGGTTGTCTCCCAAAACAGCGACGGTGATAGGAAGTGCAGGCGATCGCCTCTCAGTGATGCGACCGACAACGACCTCGGGGATCAGCGGGGCAATGGAGCGGGGCAATGGAGCGCACAGACCCCTCCTCCTCTCCTCTTTCTCACCTCTTTCCCCCCTCCCGCTCCGGCCCCTCGTCCCCCAAATGGATCGGCGATTTGTCTCAAAAATTGGCTGGCGAGGAAACCATAATCGTTAGGTCCGAGACAAACGTCGTCCGCGATGCGCCTGTCCGGGTAAAAAGCGCGCGAGCAGTTTAAAAGGGAGCGGTGGGGTGTGAGGCATGGCTTCCGCCCGGGAGTTGCTCGGGGGCGGGGCGGGCGGGGGAGAGGCGGGCACTACTGCTGCATTACGCCGAATGGAGCCAGCTCTGTTTGATCTCGGTTTGGACGAGGAGTGGCCGCTAATGCTCGGCCTTTTGCTTTGACCGAAGTGAGCAGTCTGGGCAGCGTCCACGACAAAGGAGGGGGACAAGAGGCGACTCCACTCGCAAGAGCAGAGCAGGGAATTCCAAGACCTCTGAGCTGAAATCCACGCAGTGCAGTACTATTTCCTGATCCAATTCAGCACGCCGTATTCTGACCACAACAAGGTTATAACTTCATGACTTGGTCCTCAAGAAACGCACTGTTCAATAGATGTTCAACCAATAAAGAACGGAAAGAGAGCAACTATCAGTTACACCCTTGCAAGTTGTGTTCAACACGGCGGTACATTTTGCACCTGATCTGGTGAGTGGAAATTTTAAGAGCGCATAACTAGCGAGTTTAACACACTTGATTTATCAGTGCTTAAGAATCAGACGTAACCAAAATGGTTATTCATTTTATTTTTGCGAAAAAGTGAAGAAAAAAATTCATTTCGGACGTTTTTTTCTTTGCGAGTAAGGAATCTGTCAGAGATGGTAAGATAATAAAAATACATTGACCAGAAGCCACCCCCTCAAAAAAATCGAGTCCATCCTTTGCACCCATGATTCAATAAGGGAGCAGCCTCGGCGGCCGGACCACACCCGGTGGACAAACGTTTTGGTGTGGTGGCTTGGGGGGAGGGGCAGGGTGGGCGAGGTAGGGTGGGGTGGGTCGACAACCCTATCCGCACCAGCCCTGTTGAAAGAGGAGTCTCCTGGGGAGGTGGCCGGCCCGGCCCGCCAACAGCATATTGCACTTCTTCCATTTGCGTAAGATTGGGGAAGGGGCGAGCCTCGCGCGCACGGCCGGACCATCCCAAGGAGGAGCAGGGGTCAGCGTATAAAGCAGCTTATTGGATAAGAGCATCTAAGTTAGCTCCCTGGGGTCCTAGCAAGGGTGACCGGCGCCCAGACCCAAGGCCCTCCTGGCAGAGTTTCTGGAAGGTTTTGGGTTTTGGCGGGGACCATTTTCTCATGTTATTGCAGAAATATTGGCATACATCCCAGTGCCGTACCAGATGCCATACCAGACAGACATCAGCGACCGAAATGCATGGTCATCCTACACTCCCCGCCCACCTCCACCCTCGCTCCTTCTAATCTTGAATAATGTTCCAACCCAAACGATTACTACCCATCCTTTAATTCAATTTACCCAAACATATCCGCATGCATTACAAACAACACTATGTGAGCCGGGTGTCAATTTCACGGTCCAAAAGACCTGCGCTATCCGTCTCCTTGACTTTGGACCGCACGAGCGCTTTCAATAAGCACCCTCCGTCCCCCGCCCCCATGGCCGCGCAGTACCACCCGCACACAGATCATTTAATTGGAGGTTTCCTACAGGAGCACCACCGCCGCCGCCACCGCCGGGCACCGGAGGGGTCGAGGGGGGTGCTCATTTCTATGCCCGCCGCAGTGTGGCGCTCGGTGTGGCGCGGCCCGGCGCCAGATTCTCCGATAAGTCGCGGTGGCGTCTGGAAGAGGGGGAGACGATGAAGGGGGTGGGGGGGGAGTGTTTGGCCATCAAATGGAAATGCTGCACCTGCACCTGCCGGCCCGCCCGCCCGCCCGCGGGCCTCCTTGCTACAACAAACACGCGAGAGGGTCAAGTGCCAGATCAAATCACGTCACCGTGGCTGGTGCGTATACGCGGCGCGTTGCGTGAGTGTGCGTTACTTTGTGCGTGTGAGTGATTATCGCCGAACACGTGCGGCCCGCCCGGGCCTCGCAACGCGCCGCCGCGCACCTTGTTGATCGCAATAACAGCTTCGCCCCATCATGCAGATGCATTAAGAAGCGTGCTTGTATGTCTGTCTGTGTGTGAGCGAAAGAGGAAGAGAAAGAGCGCGTCCGTCCGTGTGTGTGTGTGTCTTTATGGACGCCACGGGGAAGACGCGCGGACACGCTGCAGGAGCAGGCTGCGCGTCACAAACGCCTTTTAAGACGTGTGTGTGTTATGGAGAGGGCGCAGCGCAGGTCTGGCCGGTGTGCGTCTGCGGCGGGAGAAGGGCGGGAGAGAGGAGCGTGAGGGGAGGAGAGGGGAACGCGCAGGGGAGAAGGGAGGAAGGGAGGAAAGGGCATGGGCAGGGAGAGCGCGTGAAGAGGGCGGGGAGCGGGAGGGGGATGCGTGTCAGCAAGTGGATGCATATGGATGAGCCTCAACAGCTGCGAGTGTAACACCGGGGGGGCGCGGGTACCGCCGAGCTGTTAAATTACCCAAAATAAGTCGTATGGCCATCCCGTGGGGCGGCGGGGCTCGAGCAGGGCCGACCACACACGCCCCTCTCCGCCCCTCTCCCGCTCTCAACCCCCGCGCGGCGGAGATTCTCTCCCATTCATCCACATTAGGCCCGTGTTTTGATGTGTCCGTGAGTAATCCTATCTAACTGTCGGCTTACGCCCCTCGCGCTGCCCAATCGGCGAGTGGGCCCGGCCGGCAGACAGCAGCAGCGGCCGCGCTGACCGAGCTGGCAGCAGCCCGGGCTCACCTCTCATTATGCGGGGATGATACATACCGCCAGGGAAGACAACAATGAAAATAAAACAACGGGGATTATTGTAAGTCCGCGCCCGGAACGGCAAGGCCGCAAAAGTTGTCAAAGAGTTAAATGAGCAGTACACAGATATGGAAACACAAAAGTCCACTCTTTACGTGTACCTAACATTTTCCTACTACAATATATTCATACACATTTTTTGACGTTGGTCACGCCTGGTCACATTTCCGATCGAGGCGCGTTCTAGGCGGCGAATCGGGGAAGCGAGGGGGGTGGTGGGGTGGGGAGGGGAGCAGGGACGAGGGGGAGTTTCTGTGATGAGAAGCGGTGCACGTGCAGCGAAGGGTGTTGTTGGGGTGGGGGAGCGCGGGGGTGCCGACGGTGTCCTGGTGGCCGAGGGGGTGGGGACGGGGAGGGATAGGCGGGGAGCAGACCTACCCTTGCCCAGGCAGAACTCAATCAGATAGACAATCCTGATAAAGGGAGGTTCGCCCTGTGTATGTGCATGTGTGTGTGTGAGTGTGGGTGGTGGTGGTGGTGTTTGTGTGTGTGCGTGTATGAGTGTCTGAGTGTGTCTGTGTGTGCGCGCACGTCATGCAGCATATAAAACGGATGCGTGCATGACTGTATGATTGTGTCCACCTCATCAGGGTTGACCGATTGCACGCTGCCTCGCTGCGCCCGGAGCAAAAAAGGAAAAAAAAGAGGTAGCGAAACCAAGGGGGGCTGAGCTGAGCCTCACTTTTATAATGAGCCCAGAGACATGGTGGGACGTGGGACATGAGTTAATGTTTTGTAGCGTTTGAAAATGTAATACTCAATGAAACGCCTCAATTTTTGTCAAAGTTTATTCTATAATACACATAACATGCGACAGTGCAAAAAACAACAACAATGTCGATCGACCAAAAAATGCAATAAATTAACAAAAACAGACACACAACAAAAAAGATCGAGAAGCAGAGATAATAAACTTAACACATTACATGCGACAAACACAACCAATTAACACAAACAAAACAACAAAAGGCTGCGTCTAGAACTAACAATAACAAGCCAACCAAGAGAAAAAAAGACTAGAATGGACATGGATACGGGCACCAAAAAGAGCCCCCTCCTTCCCTCACCCTTCTCAAACCCACCATCCCCTCCCCTCCCACCAACCTGATGATGCGTTTAGCGGCGAAGGAAAGCAACCGACCCTCGCGGTAATTCGATAAAGAGGTAACCTTCACGGCGCCCTGGGGACGTCCCCTCGCCGTCCCCTCGCGGTCCGGTCCAGGTCCCCGCCAATGGAGCGCGACTGTGGCCGATTCGTCTTGCGGCCGGCCCGCGGCCCTAACGCGATGCAACGGGAGCGCTCGAGCGGCGCGCTAGTAGTGGTCGTCGCGGCCCTTCTTGTGGTGCGCCGCCTTGTGCGCCGCCTTGGAGGCAGCCTCCTTGGCCGTCTTGGCCGCGGACGCGTGCTTGGACTCCTCGTGCTCCTCGCCGTGGCGGCCCTTCTTGGAGGCGTGGTGCTTGCCGTGGTCCGTCTCGCCCTCCTTTTTGGCCTTACCCACATCGTGCGCCGCGTCCAGGTGCTTCTTCTCTTTCTTGTCACCCTCCTTGCCGCTGTGGTGCTTCTCGACGGCGCCCTTTTTGGCGTGGTGGCCCTGGTTGTCCGACTCGTCGTAGAAAGTCTCGTCTTTCTTGAACTCGTCCTTGCGGTGCACGGTGCGGAAGCCCTTGGTGGAGTGACCCTTCTTGTGCTTGGCCTTGTCGGCGAAATCAGCACCCGTTTTTCCCTTTTCTGTGGCGTGCTTTTCGGCGTACTTGCCGTCCTGGTCCAGGTGTGCCTTCTTGTGGCCCTTGCTGGCCTTGCTGCTCTCACTGTGCTTTTCCTTGCCGTGCTTGCCAGCCTCGGCGCTGTCGTGGGCCTCCTTCTTTTTGAAGCCCTTGGCGGCCTTCTTGCCTGTTGCCTTGTGGTGCTCAGCCTTGTGCTTCTGCTCACCCCCTGCTGCAACACTTTTTGGGCCGTGGTGCTCACGGTGACCGTGGTGGCCGTGGTGGTAGTCCTCGCTCTCCGTGCTGGCGGCCGCCTTCGCACCGCCACTGTGGTGGTCGCCGACAGCGTGCCCGTCATGGTCGTCTTCTGCGTGCTTCACGTCGTCCTTCTTGAGCTTGTCGCTGACGGAGTGCGGCGCCTCTTGTGCGTGGTCGTCCTCGGCGTGACCGTCGTCCTCCTTGTACGCACCTGCCTCGGCGTGGTCCCCGGCGTCTTCCGCGTGGCCGTGGTCGGCGTGGTCCTCCTCGTGCGCACCAGAGTCGCCCTGGTAGTCGTCGTGGTCACCGCCGTGCCCACCACCATCGCTAGCGCCACTGCTCGAAGCCTCGCCAAAATCCGCGCTCTCCTCGTCCTCACTGTGGTCCTGCGGCCTCTGCTTAGACGGTGCCCTGGGCGCTATCTCTGCGCCGCCGAAGGGCTTGTAGCCGGGCTGCTTTTGGTGGCCCAGGTCGTGGTCGTCATCCGCAGAGGGGCGTCGGGAGCCAGCTCGTCCCCGGCCACGCCCGCGGCCTCTCGGAAGGTCGTCCTCGTCGAGCTCCTCGGCGTCCTCCTCGTGCAGGTCAGAGACCGGCCTGGAGTTGGCGCGGAGCTGCGCGCTGCGGCCGTCCTTGGCCGGCACCCTCTGCCCCCTGATCGCGCCCCGCAGTCCGGTCGGGGTAGCCTCAGCCCCAGCGTCCACTTTGTAGAAGCCGACCTGCGCGGCGCTGCCGGCGCTGTCCCGGGGCGCCGTCTTGTACACCGTGCGCGAGGCGGACGCCACCACCGGCAGGGCGGCCGGGGCCGCGGGGGCCACTGGGGCGCTGGTGGCCGCCGGGGCAGCCGCGACCGCGGGCGACACTGGCTTGTCCACGGCGGCGGCGCCCGCGGGGGCCGCGGAGCAGAGGAGGGCGCAACTCAGCGCCGCGAGGATCAACATGGCAACGAACTCGGTGAGAAAGACGAACGCCCCTCCAGCTCCCGCGGGTTATATACGGGCACAGCCCCGGAGGGAGGGGGCAGCTCCGGAGAGGGGGAGAGGCCGGCAGCCGGCGTAGGACACGGACGAGGGTCGCGCGCGGGTATGCGTGCTATCTCATGACCACGGCGGCGACCCCACGACAACCAGCCACGTGCTGCAGCAGCACCCGAGCAGCACTTACTTTCTGCCCCACACTTATAAGACAGCAGAAAGTTAATGCGACTGCTGGAAGGGCAGACTGTCCATGCTGCTGCCCATGGCCCCAAGGCCACCCAAGCCCACCCTCATCCCCTGCCCGGCGGGGTGGCTCAGCGGCGGCCTACCGGCATCGTGTCGGGTCGCCGACGTGACACTCGTGCCACACGTGTCACACGCGTCACACGTGTGACGACGCCTTCCATACCGGCCGGCCCCGGCCGCAGCTCGTCACGTCACGCCCCGGCGCCGGGACCGCGCGGAGCGCTGTTGTTGTTTTTTTGCCCACTCTCGGCACTCTCGGTCCGTTCCGGTGCAGCCGGTCAGGACCTTCCTCTGTCATCCTCGAGTGATCGCGAGGAATCCGCCGGCCTTCCCCGCCACGCGCCGCGTCCTCCGGGAGGCTGCGCGCGCCGCGCGTCACAAGTGGGTCACGCGAGTCCCGCGAAAACAACACGCTGGACGCAACGCCAGGCGAAGTACCGACACCAACGCAATAGACCATTTTCTGCCTGTTTCTTCTCTGTGTGTGTTGGCGTGTCCTCGTCGTCCAGAGCCGGCCGCACCACGAGGGCCGGCACCGACCGGGCTGCAGGGGCAGCGAGCCTCGCCCGTCTCGAGGCGCCGTCCAGCACAATGAGCGCGACGGGAAATGAGCGCCGGGATACGGAGGGACGGGGTCAATATGTCGTGCGGGGGCGTTCCAGGAGAAAGGGAGAGAGATTCGAACTGGCCGTGATGTCCCCCCGACTTGACATTTGGCGAGGCACAGACACAGGCGCACACACAGACACATACACGCACTCACACACACACACACATCGGCGGACACAAACGAATGCTGGTTGAATAAAAATCCCACTTTACTGCCGCTGGTTGCGTCCCCGGAGACACAATGGAAGGGGTGGACAGTCATTAACCCCACACAGGCAGCGCCCCGCCGCCGCCGCGCCGGCCACACCGCTCAGGACCACGTACAATTTTTTTCCAAAGGACCTTTAATGTTTGGACGCCTGACTGACCACCGCTGCTCAGGCTGCTTTTCCTTGATTATTTTTTTCCGTCCCTCCCCAATTTGTGTGTATATGAGAGAGAGACAGAGGGAGAGAGAGAGAGAGAGAGAGATGGTATCTGCGAATTCTCTGCAGAGGTCCACTGCTTTTGTTTTGTTTGAGTCATACGATCTCCGTTGACCACAGAGTGGGTGTAACTAACCGTACCCAGGACCTCAGCAGGACGGCCGGCCCACACGGTGACGCTCCCGGGCGCAACATGGGACCCGTGAGCCACCCTGCGGCTTAAGAGCCAATCTTCTGACTTAGTGCAAGTTTGTTCCCGCCAAGCTAGGCAAAGAGACGTTTTGCAAAAATAATAAAAAAGCAAACCTGCAGTCGCGGTTTTTGATAACATTACTAATTTTACTCAAATGAAAGAATAAGATTAAAAGAATATGTCCGTTTTGGCAAACAGTAAACCGTCCCAGGGCAGAGTGGCACGGGTGCTCGCCGACTCATTCATTTCGCTGCGCGAAGTGAGGCAGTGGCGGCCGCAGCTTCACACCTCGCCCCGCGCCACGCCCCGCCACGCCCCGCCGTGCCGTAAAACAGCAGCGCTGCCTACCCGCCAGGCGCGCTTAATTATGTAACGTAGGGAGTTGTTTACAACGAAGGGCCAATTGGGCTCCAGGGCGGCGGGGCGGTGGCGGGTGGTGGCGGGGGGCTTTACATCCACTGCTCCCCCGGGAGCACGCGCTGCAGGCTGCAATTGCAAACAACGCCGCTGCTGCCCCGCACCGCTGACCTCCCTGGTCGCGCCGGGACTCTGGGTGCCCGGGCCCTGACCACCCCCAACGGCATCCTGGCAGCCCCCGCGGCCCACCGGGACCCACCCGCGCGGGGAAGTTGGGGGTGGTGGTGGCGGCGGAGATCCGCCGCACTCGAATTGCATGAATTCACGGCCCTTTTGTCTGAAAAATGAACGAAAAAAAATTCGCTTCATTGAGGGGTGGTGCGCGGTTGTCGGGGCCGCCCCTCCCACGTCCTTCATTAGTAAATAAGGGAATAAACGCAACAATGGGCAGCAACAGCGGCAGTGGTGGAAGCGGCCTCAGTGGCAGCATGGCAAGCCGTGGCAGCAGCAGCAGCAGCGCCAGCAGCCGCACAACAATGCGTACCCACAGGCACAAATTGCACCATCTCCCCGTGCTAATTTTACATTTCGTACTTTACACGCTGCGGCCCTGGCGGCCCAACCCCCAGGCCCTTGGCGCAGGCCAGCGCCGCCTATTGTTGCCGCTGCGGGCAACGGGGGCTCTAAACCAGGAGCCTCTACGGAATGCGCCGACTGATGAGAGAAGCAGAGCAGCGCAAAAATAAAAGAAAAATACACAGAAACGTCGAAAAAGGAGCACAGAACAAGCGCGGCAAATATTTCGAATGGAGATGGCAGCGTCAAGCGAGTGGCGCGCGCGAGCGAGTGGGGCTGAAGGGCGCCGGCGCACAGAAGGGTTTAGGGCGCAGTAAAGGACGTGAATAACGTTAAGGAGGGCGGCGCGAACTGGAGAACGTTAATCGCATTGTAATCAAAGTTGAAGCCTCGACGCCACGCCGCGGCCCGCTTGTCTTTGCAAGCCCTACGAGAGCTGATAAGCGTAGCAGATGTGTGATACCAAAGGAACTCCCTCCCCCTCTCCTCTGTCTCTCTCTCTCTCTCTCGCTCATTGTCTGGTCTGTCGACTCGCGCCATCAGTAATTCTTGAGCGTCTTCTTGACGCCCTGCCGTTTGGTGTTTAAGACCACCTTTACCTTTTGTTATTTGCCATTGACCCGTTTAACACTCGCTCCCAATCGTCCTCCTCTTTTTCACCCTCCACGCCTCTTTCGTCCGAAACAAGGGTTTCAGTCCGATGCGGCTCACGTCCCAAAGACAACGACGATAAAACCTGGACACACCGTGAGCGAGTAGTGGGTAGGGAGAAAGGGGAGAGAAGAGAGAAGAGAAGGGGCTGGCTAAACGGGCGGCTTTTTACGCGCGCATCACTTGGGCCGGCACCACTGGTGCAGCCTGCAGCGCCGCCATGGAAATCTCGGCACCCCCACACCCCTTCTCCTCACTCCTTTGGCCGCTAACCCCGCGCGCTCCCTGCCCCTCTTCAGTTGAATTACCAAATGATACACCGCCGCACACCACAACTTTTAGGTTTTAACCTACCATCCGCAATATTACAACTCTAACACATTGGCTTGCATCGTCAGAGGGCACTACCTCGGCACCATCCCCCATACTTCCATGCACACCCACTTCTTTCAGCCGTGCGCGGCCGCGGGGGCCGCCGTGTTTGCCTGGGCGTTTCCTCTGCGCCTGCAATTTCAGTAAAGCACCGCGCTTAGACACACACGATGGCGAGCTTATCAGGCGAGGCCACGCCACGCCACGCCACCCTGTCACTCAGAGACTTTTACGATCGTCAAATTAGCGGAGCGCACTCTAGCGGCGATCACCTCGGCCGGGGCGTGTAGAGGCGTGGCGGGGCGGGGAAATATGATGGAAGCGCGCGCGGGTATTTTGAAGTTGGAGAGGG